CCGTCAGGGTAGCTTTCCACAATCTCATGCTCCACAAAAGCTTTGTCCCAATCATTACGAGCTTTTAGATTTTTGGGGTCTAACAACTGTAGGAATACCTTGGCAGGGAATGGCATATCAACCGTGTAAACTATCTTAATAGGAACTTCGTCATCGTATATGGTTTTAATCCAGTAAGTGTAGCCAGGGCCCGTAGCCGCTTCAGTCCAGCCGTCACCTTTCTCCAAGTCTTCTTTGAACCACTTGGCTTTTTGAAGCTCTTCTTCGTACGAGAAAGTTCGGAACAACTCAGTTTCTTTAGCCTGCATTACGGTCAGCTTTTGGAAGAACAAGGATTTGCATAGATCGATTATTGCAGCTCCAATATATTGTGTCTCGTTACTGACTCCTCCCAGCAACTCGTGTCTTATTGGTTGCTATTTTTGTCGAACGCTGTAGCGCCATCTTCATGCTTGTCACGTTGCTTCTGTTGTTGTGTGTTTGCGAGAGAGGTCGACCTAAATCATGGTCTCTTGGTTTCACCCGCAATATTTTTACATTCTATCTCCTAGTTGTTTTCTCACGTTTTTCCGTTTATATGTATTTGGCTTCCGGCGTCGCTGCATGACTCAAATGTGTTATGTGCTAAGTTTATATTTGCCAAACTATTAGTGTTTCTCGTTATTTTGCTCTTGAGTGATACAAAGAGAAATAGGTTTAGTCAAATATGGTATATCTATATCACAACACAATCCGCAACAACAACATCTTTAGTTTCTCAATACAAATATAAACATAAAACCCTTTTAGTATATTTAATATGTGTGGTAGGCAATCAATGGCTACGAAGTAACACTCCGACTTTCCTTTAAAGGACGTCTGATTTTTGATGCCATGCTGAGACGAGACTGAATTTTAGTCCACTCTCTGGACTCTCCCTTAAACTCTGACATTGGAATATTCGATAGACATTGGAATATTCGATAGAGAGCAAAATTCAGAGTTAAATTAAACATCCACAATTGTTCAATATCCTTGCTCTGTTATGCAAATTCCTACTATATTGATAAAGCTCCCCTTGGGCTATGCGTACAAGAGCTGAATCTTCGCTAACGTCA